GGCTGGCCGCCGCTTGACGGTGCTGGTGCCGTTCTGGTAGACAGCGAGCGGAGCCGGCTCCAGTGCTGGCTCCTTGTCCTTGGCCTTGGGCCGGCGCTTGACGGTGTCGGACTCGGTGAGGACGAAGCGGACGCCATCTTGCTGGCTCTGCCTGGCCCGGATCCGCCGCTTCAGCGTGGCACTGGCCTCCACTTTGGCCAGGTCGCCGTGGCGGTGGGCCGGGGACAGCCCCTCGCCCACCTCCCCCCGGGCAGGCCCCAGGGGCCGTGGCCGCTGCTTGATGGTGAGGTTGCCCTCCTCAGCGAAGGGGATGCCGTCTGGGGAGCCGCCACGCTCAACCCGCAGCCGCTCACCAGGGCCATCGGCACCCACCTCTGATCGCACGCTGTCAGCACGCTCACGGCGGGTGCCACCAGCGACAGGGCCACTGATGGTCCGGCGCCGGTTCACCACCTCCCCATCCAGCCCAATGGCCTCCTTGTGCTTGACAGTGGCCAGGACAGTGGCCACGCGGGCACGCTCGGGGCTGCCTGGGGGGGCCCCTGGCTGCAGGTAGTAGCCCTCGGGTGCCTTGGCCGGCCCTGGCCCGCTGGCCCCATGTGGCTTCTGCAGCGCCAGTGCCCGGGCCCCACCACCAATGGAGGACATCTCCAGCATGGCCGCGATGCTGCGCACGCTTCCAGCACTGCCCGTGTCCACGCTGCCACCCAGGTCACTGGCGCGCCGCTGCTCCCGGCGGCTCTCGCCCTCGGTGACAGGGGGCCCAGTGGCCACCTCACCCTCACCCTCCTTGGGGAAGTCCTCAGCCATGCCGGCGCTGGAGATGGCGGAGCTGGAGCGCTTGGGGGGAGGCGGCGGGGGCCCCTTCTTCTTGGGGCGGACAGCGAAGGACTGGCTACGGTTGACGTTCTTGTCACTGGCACCAGCAGCTCGTCCCGCTCCTGCTCGCTGTCGGAGGCAGCGTATCGGTTCAGGCTGTGTGCCCGCTTCTTCGGCCGCCCGGGCTCCTCCTCGCCCTCACCCGCCGGCGGCAGGCACAGCACTGGCACTGAGACGGGCAGGACGGGCACCCCCGGGGGTCCCCCCTCGCCCTCGGCAGGCTGCGGCAGGACGTAGGCGAAGCCGCGGTGGGTGGGTGACTGGGGCAGGGAGCGGGGCGACGCGGGGCGCTCGCCTGGCGGCAGCAGCTGCGGTGTGGGCTTCACCTTGGCGGTGGCGTGGGGTGCTGGCAGGCCCTGTGGGGAGGGGGGCCGTGGCTTGCCGGGGGTCTGTGGTGGTGTCAGGTGGCCAGCGGAGGGCGGGAAGGGCTGCCGGGGCTTGCCAGGCACTGGTGGCACGCTGGCACGCTTGACGGGGTGGCCGTGCCGGGGCGGACGCCCCTCCTTGGGTGGTGCGGGGGGGCCCTCACCAGCCCCTTCTGCCAGGTACTCCTGGCTTTTGGAGATGGCGGCGGTGGGGGGGGCCCGCGGGCCATCCCCCAGCAGCTCCTGCGAGCTGCTCATCAGCCTGGCACGGCCACCCAGCCCCGGGGGCGAGCGGTAGCCAGGGGCCGCGGGGTTTGCCACCTTCTCAGGGGGCTCCTCGGGGCCTTCGCCTGTCATGGCCACCTGCAGCTCGCTGCTGAGCTCACTGTCCTGGAAGGTGGTCATCTTGGGTGACTGGCACTCGGGCGGCTCCGGTGGGGGGGACTCAATGGCCAGCACCTCCGGGCACGCCGCTGCCTTCCTTTTCAGTGTACCCGGCTCATACTTGCCCAGCTCAGCACGCTGCAGCTCTGCCAGCTTCTTCACTGCCAGCATCAGCTTCTTCTGGTGGCCTGGGGACGGCATGGGGCATCAGCGCCACTGCCAGGGGCTGGGGCCACCACAGCCAGCGCTGCGGCACAGCACCTTACCCAGCTTGGTGATGCCGATCTCCTGCAGATCCTCCCAGGTGATGTCAGTGATGAAGTCGATGTTCTCGTAGCCGTTCTCCACCAGCACCTTGTAGTACTGGGACAGGCCAATCATGGAGAGCCACAGCGCCAGGTTGGCCTGGGGGGGGGCGCAGAGCACGGCTCAGTGCTGGCTGGCAGCAGGGTCTGGCCCTGGCACACCCTGGCACTGCAGCGTGCGTGGGGTCTCCCCATCCTGCTGGGGGATGGCCCCAGGGGACTTCCCTATCCCCACACTGTCCCTGTGCTCCACAAGCTCCCAGGGCCCATTCCCATGGGAAGCCCCTTTGCCATGCCCAGCCAATGGAGCAGGAGAGGTGTTGGGGATACACCTGGTGTCATGTCCATGCGGTGACAATTGGCACCAGTCTGACAGTCCCCGAGCTGTTGGGAGGGGACATGTGCAGCTTCAGGACCACGGGATGTGGGCATCATCTGGCAGTGGTGAGCCAGCTGCCACCCTCGTCCCCCTGTGCCACCCCCTCCCTGGAGGGGACAGGGCAGAGGGGACTAGTTGCTACCCTGGATGTGGCTTCGGCGTCCCTGGCCCCACGCAGCCCTTACCGGCTTGTACTCTGGCAGCCATTCAGGGATATTGAGGTTGTTGATCTCAGAGGCTATCTTCTTCCTGTGCCCTGGCTTGGTGACACCGATGGCCGTGAGGTCCTGGGGCAGAGAGAGGGGTCAGCACTGCCCTGCATCGGCTGTACCCGCCCCCCCCGCAGCACTGGCCAGCCCCAGCGCCCCTGTGGCCTCACCTCTGGTGTCATCCGGCTAATGGTGGTGATGTCGTAGCCAGCGTTGATGAAGTTGGGTGCGTAGAGCTGCAGCTGGAACTTGCAGAGCCACTGGTACACAGCCTCTGAGCTCTGGAGTGAGAGAGACAGCACAGCTCGGGGCAGCCCTGGGGATGGGGACCCACCGTCCCTACCCGTGTCCCCTGGGACTGTCCCCACACCTGTCTGTGTGCTGGCAGGAGACCCCAGCTGGGAGCCGGCACCACAGTGGGGCTGCGTGGCCCTGTGGCTTGGGGTACCCCAGGCACAAGTCTGTCCCCCAGGATGTGCAGGGGGCTGGTGCTGTGGAGCTGGGGGGGCTGGCAGCCGCAGGGATGACTCACACCACTGGCTCATGGCACAGCTCCCCACAGGCACTGCCATCGCTGCAAACACCAGAGCCCTGCCAGCCTTGGCAGCCGTGACACAGGGCTGCCAAAGCGCCCGCAGCTGTGGGTGTAGGGGGTGCCTCCCATGTGGCTGTGGCTGTGCCTCCCCTGGCACCACACTCCACTGCAGGGCACCCCATGCCACCTCAGTGCTCCCCACTCACCTTCCCCTCCGATGGTGGCTCCATCTTCTTCAGCTGGGGCTCGGCAGGGGGCTGGGGGGCGTACGGGGAGCTGGCCACGCTCTGCGACCGCGACGAACCTGCCAGAGAGGCAGTGGTCAGCGGGTCCAGGGCCACACACCCCCCGGGCTCTGGCCAAGCGAGGAAGGGAGCTGAGCCCCTGCCCCACATGGGATGGCACAGCCAAGGCCCCCGGGTTGGCAGGGCCAGGGCAGGCACGGGAGAACAGCCACCCCAGCACAGCAGCCTGGAGCACCCTGGGGTGCCCTGGGGTCTGCTCCCCCGGGATGGGCAGGGGTGGTGCAGGGCACTGTGCCCAGGCACTGCTGGATGGGTCACAGCTCCTATTGTTGAATCCTGGTGAGGCTGTCCATGCTGGCACAGGGCTCACAGCAAGGGTTGCATCAGCATGGGGCTCCGCAGGGCACCCAGCCCCCTACACCATGGCACATGGGGCTCCTGGGTGCCACGCTGGCTCGCCTGGGCTGCCCTTGCTGTTGCCCTTGTCCACCCACCCAGAGACAGGCGAGCCCCCAGACCAGTGGGGGCCGGGGTGCTGCAATGCCCTCCACCCAGTGCAGCCCTGAGCGGAGGAACCCAGCCAGACCCCTCCTCCAGAGTGGGTTTTCCTGGCTGCCCACCTCCCCCAGGCAGCAGCCAGAGGGGTCCCACTGCTCAAAGCCCTCTGTCCCCGCTCCTCCAGCCATGCCACCAACCCAGGATGGGGCTCATCCACCCACTGTGCCCCACAGCAAGGGGCCTGGCTGGGGAGGGCAGGCTGGCACGAGCTGCCTCATCCCCCGGCACCCCCGCACAGGCACCCAGGCAGCCCTGTGGCACCCACCCTCCAGCTGGTGCCTTTGCCAGCCCTGGGGGTGATGAGGGCTGCCCAGAAATTTCTGATCAGGACCAGCAAGAGCAGTTCCTTCCCCCCTGCTGGCAACTGCATCCTCCATGCATATACATTCCCCCCCCGCCCCATGTGTGTGTGCATCCAATGTGTGCGTGTGTGTACCCCCCTCCTGTGTGTGTGTGCATCCCCCCCACCGTGTGTGTGCATCCTCCTTGCGTGTGCATCCTTCTGGCATCTGCATCCCACTTGCGTGGGCATCCTCCTCACATTTGCATCCCTCTGCCACGTGCACCTCCCTCGCGTCTGCATCCCACTTGCATGTACATCTCTCCAGCATGTGCTTCCCCCTCCAAGCAACGCGTGCATCCCCCCCCGTGTGCGCATCCCCCCCTCCCCAGCTTTCCACCCCCCCTGCGTGTGCATCTCCGCAGCCCGGGCATCCCCCGGCACGTTCATCCCCCACGTGTGCATCCTCCCCGCGTGTGC